CTTCCTCTCCCGCTCCTACCACTACATAACTGACTTCATTTCAGGAATGTTGCTTCTCTACCGGTACCTCAGGTTCTTCGCGGGGATTCCTGAATGCCCCACCTCGGAGAAGTTCGGTCGATGGGACAGTTGTTGGAACCGTCTGAACTGCTGCTGATACCTCTTCGTCCTGGTAGCGCAGCAGAAGAGGGCACACTCCTGAAAGTGCTAAAGATAAGGTCTCAAACGTCCGTGAAAATGGAATGATACAGAGAAAGAAGATTAGCATGGCCCCTGCGTAAGGATGACAGGCGTAAGCCGAGGAATGGCCCAAAATTCTCCAACTTTGTAACTTGGAGGTAAGAAAAAAAGAGAAAAAAAGGAATCCACACCAACCAAGCACAGCCGGAAGTCCACACCAACCATCCAACCAACCAACCAATCAATCAATCAATCAATTAATCAATCAATCAATCAATCAATCAATCAATCAATCAATCAATTAATCCTGCATTAAGCTGGAGTTACAGCTTCAGTAGCAGGGGTATATTCCATACCCCTGATAGTAAATCATTTTGGGTCTGGAGTTGGGGGGGGTGGGGGACCATTTAGAGAAGTGTACCATTCAGGGAAGAGCAAAAGGTACCTTTGGGGTGAATTTTGCAAATGGCGGTCCAAAACCCCACAGGCGCATGGAGCTTCTTGACAGAGATTGTGCTCCAGCTCTTTGGTCATTCTTGAAATCCTCTGGCCTTGGAGATGATAGGTGAACAGTGAACACATTTGGCAGAGCAAGGCGCAGGACAACCGCAAGCTGTTGGTGTATAGCTGTTCTGAGCTGGGAGGTGACACAGCCTTATCTTCGTGGCGACCACAAAGCACCTTTCGATTCTTTGCAGTCGCACACGTGTAATCGGTTCTGCTTGATTATATCTGAAATGTGAAAACCACTAAGGAAGTCGATACGGGTAAATCTTTTCTTGTTCTGTTCATTTCCTTCCTTCTTTTTTTTTTTTTTTTTTTTTTTTTTCTGTTTGTGTGTGTGTGTTGCCTTTTGCCCTTTTGCCATGGCGGTATTTGGCTGTGGGATTTGCAAGTTAGGTGTTCAGTTGTCCATCTCGTTCATATGTCTGCATCTCCTTGTAAAGTCTGACAATCCTGGCCATGCTTCCGTTGGCCTTACGGGGCCTGCATCAAATTCTGCACTCTGGACGTGCGGTGATGTGTCGCTTCCACAGCCTGTAGATCTTTTCTCCCCCCCCCCCCCCCCCTCCCCCTGGTTTCTCGCTGTTTTCTTTTCGAGATTTGGGCCTGTAGGGCCCCACTTGTGCGGATTGTTGCGTAGGTAGTGTATGTAACCAAACGCGTGGAAAGAATTTGGGCTTGACCTAAAAGGCTTGCCCACTTTGGGACTCTGAGAGGTTAACGGATACAGTCGCTAGAGCGGAGTGAAAATTTGACAAGTTAAGCACACACTGTCGGCGCAGGACTGGGCTGCTGTCATACAGTGAGTAGCCTGTCAGGATTGAGGTGTCGTCTAAGGCATCAGCATCATCGTCAAGGAAGGAGGAGCAGTTGAGCCTTTTGCTGCAGGAAGCTGCAGCCCTTGATGGCTTACTTCCCCCCACCCCCATACCCTCTTTCTCTCTCCCCCTCCTTCCGACAGGCCTGGTCGTTTCGAGCTGGAGACAGTCAGTATCGGTGCAGATGCTTGTCGTGTTCGGCTGCCAGAAGGGACAGGCTTTAGGCTCCACAACTCAGCAAGAGTTTCAAACTGGAGCAACTGATCAGGATGGAAATGCAGTGGGAGGAAGATATTCTTTGTTCCCCCGGTGATAATTGCGGATTGTCCAGCTGGTGGGGTCACAACACGGTGTCCGTTTCACGTTCTGGTCGTCTTTCCTTCCTTACCGCGTTGAAGAAAAAAACTTGGAAAATGAAAATGAAAACGAATTTCACATGATTCTCCCGAGAACGGAAATGGAGCCACGGCCATAAGGACCTGTTTTATTATGAAAAAAAAAAAAGCGGAATTTGGATTGTCATTCTGGACATGATGTTATGATATGATTCCATGGATGGATGTTAGGGATATTTGAGAGAAATGATCTTTAGTAGAATGGCATACCGAAACTGGAAAAAAAAAGAAACAAGAAGCACAGTGCTTGGAAATGGAGAAAAGGACCCAATTGCTGATTAATATAATATAATTTAATTATATAATTAGTAATTATTAGTTACGAATAAATGAAGAAACAATACAGAAACCAAAGCAAGTGGGAATGACTGACGGCCAGTTTAGTCTATGGACAGCTGTCAAGAATTACATGGTTATGGTGTAGTTAATTAATAAGTTGAGGCAGCTCTGTTTGACGATATATAACTCCGACGAAACAGTTTGTCACAGCCCCCCGTTTGTTGTCCTCTTCTCTCTCTCTGCCTACGGTTTACCGGGCAGTTCTGTTTGTGACGATATATATGTCAAAATGCCCTTTCGACAAAACAAACAAACAAACAAACAAACAAAAAAAAAAAAAAAAAAAAAAAAAAAAAAAAAAAAAAAAAAAAAAAAAAAAAAAAAAAAAAACTGATGTCAGATGGACACCCGTCTTTGCAATATACCCCTGCTGGAGACCGTCCAACTTTGCAAAATGACCTGGTACATCCCAACTTTTTCCAAGCCCAAAACGGCGAGGTCCAAATTGCAAATTTGCGCACCAGCCTGACAGGGGCATAACGCAAAGATTTCGGCCCAAAGGACCTTCCTCTCTACCCACACCTTTCAGGGGCATTTTGGTGTATATCTCAACTTATGGCGGTATTTTGCAAACGTCATCCCATTATTATAACAAGTGGACCCAGCACAGCGAAGCCACGCCCCAGTCCTGTCTATTCTTGGCTGGAAAGCGTGGCAATGTCGGTCTGTGTGTGTGTGTGTGTGTGTGTGTGTGTGTGTGTGTGTGTGTGTGTGTGTGTGTAGGATGAGCAAAATCAGAATCAATCTTCAGCCAGAACATGGAAATATACACTGCCACATTTTTTTTTTTCATGTGTGCATCAACTGATCAGCCTGCCAATGTGCAAAATGAGAAGGAATCTTCCGCAAGAAATCGGAAGATACACCGCGTCAGACAGATGCATCGGAAATAAATCCCAGTGTGAGTATGGACTAAGGAGCTGTCAGATGCAAATGTCTCCCCGGAGAGAGATGGAAGGAGCGAGAGCGAGAGAGAGAGAGAGAGAGAGAGAGAGAGAGAGAGAGTTTTCCATCCATAGGATGAGCGAAATGGGAGGACTGAATCTGTCGCTAGAACATGGAAGTATACACTGCTGCTACATTTTCGGTCTTTGGCAGTGTATATTTCCATGTTGTGGCAGTGGATACTTCCATGTTCTAGGGGAAGATTCAACCACTTTAGTAAGAGTATAGATAATATATTTCTATGGACTCTAGAATAAGTTCTCACTGGCTGTCCAAAGAGATGATACACAGAAATCAGGAGGTGGTCCACTAGAAAAGAAATAAAGAAATAATTCAAAGAAAGAAATAAAGAAACAATACAGGGACCAGAGCAAGCAGATTCTGCTGCCAGTTGGTCAAGCTTACACAGAATTAATCCTCTCCTTGATATTGCTTTTCTGAGTTTTCTCACAAATCTGATTGATCAGTTGCTATTGCTGCTGCTGAATAATAATAATAATAATAATAATAATAATAATAATGAAAAAAATCTATAGATTCAGTAGTAGTCAGTATGAAAAAAAAAGGTCTATAGAGTAATATAGACACTAATAAAATATATTTGCAATTTTGCACTGCCTGTCCAAAGGGAGGATAGACTGAAATCAGGAGGTGGTCCCATCACTTGCGAAGTTGCGAATTATATGCGCTCAAAACAGGAATAGTCACGCTTTCCCTAATTGAATTGGGGGTGGCGTATTCATCGGGAAAGATGAGAAGTTTGAGAAAATCGCGTAGATCCACTTCATCTCTTGTGAATTGATCGCATCGCCTAATTGAGAATTGCTCGACCCCTGTCCTCCGCATGCCACCTCTGGACTCGGGGGGAGGGGCATGGCAGCATGCCGGTCGCCTTGGGCCGATGCCACCTCTGGACTCCGGGGAGGGGCGTACTTGAAATCATGCTGGCCACTTTTGGGCAATGCCACCTCTGGACCCCAAGGGAGGGGCATGCTTGAAAGCATGCTGGCCTCTTTTGGGCAATGCTAGAGGGGTATGCTGGAAAGCATGCCGGACTCCTTGGGCCGATGCCACCTCTGGAGTCCAGGGAAGGGGCATACTTGAAACCATACTGGCCTTTTTTGGGCAATGCCACCTCTGGACTCCAAGGGAGGGGCATGCTGGAAAGCATGCCGCGGTCTCCTTGGGCCGATGCCACCTCTGGACTCCAAGGGAGGGGCATGCTGGAAAGCATGCCGCGGTCTCCTTGGGCCAATGCCGCCTCTGAAGTCCAGGGAAGGGCCATACTTTATATCATGCTGGACTCTTTTGGGCAATCCCATGGCTCGACTCCACAGGAAGGCGATTTTGTGTGCACATCGCCTTAGCAAGATGTTGGTAAGACTAACAAAAAAAAAAAAAAAAAAAAAAAAAGGAGGAGAAGAAGAAAAAGAAGAAGAAGAATCGTATGCCATTCCATGGGAGTTCTTTATCTGTCATCTGAGATTTTGTGAAATGCTGTGCATTGAAAGGAGGCATTTTCCGTGGCCCTCAGATATAAAGAAAATCAGCAGATCCCGTATCAAGTGGTGGTCTTCTGCGTGGAACTCACTGATATTTTTGCAAGTCGACACGTCTGGACTCTGAAGTCTTACAGTCAAATGAATTGTCAGTCCTTGGATGTGCATGACAATGTCTGCATAACATTTTTTTCTGCAACTGGTTTAGTTAGAACTTAGAAGAAGTATCATGCTTTTCCAGGAACAATTGTTGTTCTTTTTATCTGGGAGTGGTTTTCTGAAGGCATGGATCCGTCTGCGTGTGGGTTGTTTTCCTGCAGGGCATGAAGATCGTTTTTCGTGTGGGGCTTGCTCTCCTGAAGTATTGTCAGGACAGTCTGGTATGTACTCTCTCTCTCTCTCTCTCTCTCTCTCTCTCTCTCTCTCTCTCTCTCTCTCTCTCTCTCTCTCTCTCTCTCTCTCTCTCTCTCTC